GAAAATATGCAGAGATACTCTTTCTATATAATATATATATATACACACACACGAGTATATACAGATTAATTAAATAAAAAAGCTCAAACACTACCGTTTATCTTATTTTACTAAACCTGGTGAACGATATTTAGCTAAGCGTCAATGGAAATAAAGATTTTCGTCTGGCAAAGATGACAACTTGTAGCTGGGTATGTGACATGCAACATCCATCTTCAACTTAGAAACATAGAAACAGATATGTAAGCATTAATCCTTTTTAGCTTTTGATGCCGATAATAATCCAGGGCGAATAGGGGATTTACTGAGGAATTGAATTACAGTTCCCAGAATACCCCTCATCCATGAAATAAGATTTCCAAATGTTAACGGATTAAAACTTTAAGCTTGATTCTCCTATTGAATATCACGAGAGATGGAGGGAAGAAAAGATTTACTAGCGGTTATCTATTCGAACTGTGTTTATTTTATCAGTATGTTAAAGTAGAGCTGAATAACCACTTCCAGAAGAGAGATAATTACCCGTCATCTAATATGTATATATATATATATATATTTAAAAATTTATATAAAACAATATTCAGGATAAACACTCAATACTATTTTTAGAATGTTGGACATCTAGATAAGAATCTACATGAAGAAAAATAAAACTTATATAAATTCCAAACAAGCAAATATCTGGAACTAATTCAATTGGGATTGTTTCTTTTTTCAGGCGATGCCTTTACAAACAAATTTTAAAATTCCAATTCTTATTAAAAGCTTTTGATCTTTTAATAAAAAAATATATAATTTTACGATGTACTAGAGCGCCATCTGTTATCAAATTATAAAACTATTTTAGAGGCGTAATATTCTTTTTAAAATAAAACAATTTCTACTGTCCTTACTGCGATGGAAAAATTAAAGGGAGGGCCTGGCTCATCAGTGGTGAACCCTTCCAGCGGTTTCGCCAGTTTAATCTACCATACCGCTGTTATATTGCATTTTTGGAACTTCCTTTTATAGGTGACTGTTGTAAGGACTCTTGGAATGGGTATTTTAGAAGAACTATGGACATAAGCTTTTAGGACAGCAGAATTAAATATATTTATAAATATATAATATGCTTCGAGCAATCGCTCTTCCGCAAATATCAAATTGTGTCTTTTATTAGAACAATAATGTTACGATGTACTAATTTAATTTTTCCATCGCAGTAAGGACAGTAGAAATTGTTTTATTTTAAAAAAGAATATTACGCCTCTAAAATAGTTTTATAATTTGATAACAGATGGCGCTCTAGTACATCGTAACATTATTGTTCTAATAAAAGACACAATTTGATATTTGCGGAAGAGCGATTGCTCGAAGCATATTATATATTTATAAATATATTTAATTCTGCTGTCCTAAAAGCTTATGTCCATAGTTCTTCTAAAATACCCATTCCAAGAGTCCTTACAACAGTCACCTATAAAAGGAAGTTCCAAAAATGCAATATAACAGCGGTATGGTAGATTAAACTGGCGAAACCGCTGGGAGGGTTCACCACTGATGAGCCAGGCCCTCCTTTAATTTTTCCATCGCAGTAAGGACAGTAGAAATTGTTTTATTTTAAAAAGAATATTACGCCTCTAAAATAGTTTTATAATTTAAAAAAATATATAATTATAATAAATTTAATTTATTTTGAAAAAATAACCTTTTATTCTATATTCACTAGATAAAATTCCACTCGGGAAAATTCTTAAAGCGTGGGGAAAACGACTTGTCACCTGCTTCTTGGTTGAGATATCGCGCAACTGGAGGGAAATCTATGCTCACCTATAAATGGCCGCACATAATGGTGTGAGTTGCTAGCACAGAAATGTCTTAAAGGAAATTCATCTTGGGAATCCAATAAGAGATTTAATTTGAAATGCTATTCAATTTGTCAAGGACATAGAAACATTTATTTGAAGCTTGATCATCATCAGGAAGATGAACAACGTTCCATTATTAAATGACATATTGGCTAATTTCTTAGTGTCAAACTCATCATTTATGTACAGAACCACTCGAATGTGTTCTTTTTAATTCTAATAAAATATTGAGGTCGAAAGTTATCAAGTCAATAAAGTCTGGAGCATGTTAAAATAGCTCTCACACCAGCATAGCAATATTATCGACACAGAATCATCTGTATGAGGTTGTTCGCTGTTATCCAAGCACTTACCATCACACAACAAATTTCCCTTCCGCATTCTTGTTAATCAATAACTTAAATGTTATAAGATATCTTCCTACAAAGATGACTAAACAGTTGATCCTTAAGAGTAGATAAAATAATCACCAGACTATCTACTTTTCAGAAAATATTATTCCCCAAAACCTTTAATAAATGTTATATCTGTACTTTTTCTTTCTCACAGCGTTGGAGATATTATTTTGATAACCCCACTGTCTATTCTGTTGTTTAGCCTCATATTGATAGTGACGACAAAAAGAGAAAAGGTGTGTGTGTCTCGTATCTTATTACTATTACTTTAAGAAAATCATTCTAGCAAGCATCAAAACGATGCTGTTTCAGTTTTGTGGCAAAACGTGTTAATCCTAGTTGCACATTTCCAACTTTGAGTTCCGTTTATGTTAGTTGTTCAATATAGAATATATAGATCTTAATAAAATCCACCTGTGTTTGAAAATGCATTTACAGTGATAGACTGGTCAATTCCCATTTGCTCACATGGTCACTTTAACTAGATGCCAGTGTTAATGAAATAATAAAAGTTTCAATCGACAGGTCGCTCCTTGTTGAAGTTCCGTCAGGAAAGAAATTCTACATTCATAAAAAAATAGTTACAAGAATTTCAGATATATTTATAAACTGAATCGAAATGTTATTGAATTCGTTTTTGAGTGAGCTTGCTAATTGCAGCGTCTTGCAGCCTTTTCGGAACGCCGGATGTAGAAATAACGTAGTTCTAATACTAAAAATAAGGATGAAAAGAATGTGGGGAATGTTTAAATCCACTTTGCAAATTCCTCCGCAGGAACTTTATTCAATCTGTCAATCCAACTGGGTAAATAGACTTTGCCTCTTCCCACAATCAAATTATATAAATCTAATCACCCCGAATTCAAAGACGATGATTGGAATTGGAGTATTTTATAGAGGCTTTCACTTTGAAAATTTCTTTTTTGAGATAGTATAGGGAGAGTTAGAAAAATATCTTTAAAATATCCTAAAATAAACAATGTAACTATTCTGAGATGGGTATAAAGGCGATTGTAAGAGTTGAAAGATTCGATGCGTTTTGGCAGCATCACTGTGATGAGACAAGCGACATCATTCTAAAGATGACTCTCTTTTGGGATTTTGCTCTTTTGCCTAAATTCAAAGCAGCCTTGTCTGATACCAGTTTATAGCAATGCTAGAATAAACATACTGGATGTTTCTTAAGAATGTGAAGGTTATACACTTCTAGAATTTTTATATATTTGAATAACTTAGGTAAATTATAGAACAAATACTCTTGAATACAGAAAAATAAAAATTCAACAAAACACCCCCTTTGATTATACACCTAAACGCTATTGACTAAAACGTTATTTGAATTCAATCATCAAATCAAATGAGCGTATATATTGTTTTTTAGAATTTATTTTACTTCAGAGAATATTGGTTTAAAATATTTACTCGATAAAGATATGGAATTATGTACGAGTTTCGAGTTATCGGTCCTTGTCAGCATGATTGTGGTTACACTCCAACGTTCAAAGAAGGAGATTGAAGAGGTTTCTTAATTAATCAAAGAATAATAAGTTAGAACAAATATTGCCTCGGTACGTTAGACTATGTGAAGAAATAGAACAAAATGAAGAACGTATCGAATAATAAGAAAAGTTCCTTCTTCTGATTGTACTAATTATTAATATCTACTATAATATACACCTTAGTGCTTATACGATTGCACGTTTTATTCTTTAGCTGATTGGTTCTCTACTCTCACGAGACCTCAAATAGCCAATCAGTGTTGAGTTCATTAGCCATTCAGTGTGAAATGTTTTTAGATAATCCCTTAAATTATCAATTATGTTCTATATTAAATATAAGATCATGGATTGGATTCTTGATTGTTCTCTTTTAGTTATACTTAAAATATATTTGTGTCATTCTGTCCTTATGTATATATATATATATATTCAGTTATTCAAGGTTATATTTATGAATCATATGGATATTAGAATTTTGATCGTTGTATAGTCTTATATTAATGCTGGGGAGGGTTTTGAGAAATGCCATCTGATCTCAATCCCAATGAAAGAAAAATCCCTATTTGTACCTTCCAGTGGGAGTACAAATCTAACAGAGTATATCCCAATGGGTTGGCTAGCAAAATATGAGCGCGAATGAAAGCCGGGATGAGCTTTCGACTTCATTCTTGCAAAGAAGAAGGACACTCTCGTGTCTTTGAGGGGAAAAATCGCCCAAAAGGCAGAAGAGCCAAATTTATTTGGCCAACGGCATAAACGGAAGAAAAAGCTGTCAAACCACTACAGTACAAGAACTGCTGAGATAGTTATATGAACCGTTATCAGATCAAAAGTTGGAGAATATTTGTCCATATAGTCATCAAAAGCTGAATTCGACTTGATGAACGCTAACAACAATAACATACTGGGATCTGACGCTTTAATCCCTTATTTTCTAATCATATTTAGAGACCAAATGTAAATGAAATCTATGTGCTCACACATATGTTTTTCTCGTCGCAATATCAACCAAAATCAATAAAATCTCTTTTATTAGGATCCTTTTGTATATATCTATAAAAGTTTCCATCACAATATTTCAAATTTTCAGTAAATAGTATACTCGACATATTTAGTAAACAAATTTCATAGCTCACATTTTAAAATCCATGATTTTAAACTAAGTAAACAATATGAAAATGGAAATGGTAAACTATGGTTGTCCTCTCTTTAAGAGTATACAAATAAATGCCAAATACAATATTTTAATTTAAAAACTACGCGGCCGGCGGGATTCGAACCCACGTAACCTGATTCAATGAGCAGACGCCACACCTCTCGGCCACGGCCACTTCGTAATAATTAAATGTATTTGGCATGTATCGTATACTCATATTGAATCCATACATAGAATATTGATAGCAGTGAAATGTGTTTACCAAATCACATATAAATCCATAAAATGATTTATACATTTTTTTATTGTGACCTTGTAAATACAGTCGAATTTGGATAATTCGAAGCTCAAGGGACCAAAAAAAAAAAAATTCGAATTATCCAAATATTCGAATTAAAAACGTTTTGAATAAAAGGCTTAAAAGTTTAGGGATCAAGATAAATATTCGAATCAAATACTTTTTCAACGTTTTAATTATCCATGTTCTACTGAATATTCGGCTAGTATAAACTATAAGGAGAAGGCCAGATCTAAATGAGTAGAAGTTCGTCACTTTTTGACGAGAATAATATCGCTTATTGAATAGAAGATTATCACTTGCTGACGAAATTACATCACTTAACGACGAGATTAATTTCATTTATTGAGGATGAGATCATCACCTACGTATTCTCTAAGATATTTCTATTTGCGATGCCCACGGGGCAATGTGACCACTAATTGAAGTAGGTTGGTCGGTAATTATTTTAGATAACGATAGATGCCAAACTAAAATGGCGTCTGTTTGGAATACCTCTACATCTATATATCTTATTTCAAATGATGAGAGAGAGAAAAGTTGCTAGAAAATTGTTGAAATAGTAATACTGTATATTTAAAATTATCGTAAAGATAGAGGCTGCCTGGCCGGCATTTATATTTATATGAAAAATAGACACTTCGGCCAGTTGGAGTTTTTTATTTTCTCAACGAAATTGAACAATTTTTAACGCCTTGCCAAATGTTTTATTTTATTTACTTCTCCTGACGAAGACAAAAGATTTTTGTCGAAACGTTGAGAAAATAAAAAAACTCTAACTGGCCGAAGTGTCGATTTTTTATATAAATATTGTAACATAGTATTTATTAATTTTATTTATGTAACACAGTATTTATTAATTTTATTTATGTAACACAGTATTTATTAATTTTATATATTTTTATTAACAGAGTGGTCTTTTTTTTTTCATATCTTGCGACTCTGTAAATTTCCCTCGTGGCTTATCTTTTGTTTACAATTCATAGTTTGTCCTTCCCTGAAATAAATTGTTGTTTCCTCCTGAAGTTTTTGTCTTCCCTAATTTTCCACGTGGCAATATTTAAAATTATTTAAAATAAGTATTTTGATTATATATTTAACAGGAAAGCTTTCGAGGAACCAAAAATGGAAAATATAATACCACAAGTTGTATATATATGACCTGCCACCTCGTGAGTATCACAGTAGAAATATGCTTGTTGTTGATCTCGTGGTTCGAAAGCCTGCCAGTTTACCAAATAGTAAATATAATTATTGCAAGGAATTTAAATAATCTAATATTGGTCTCTCTTCTTTAGTAAGGTCGATAGAAGTTAGCTTCAATTATATTGTGGCGAAGAAATATTTTATTATTTAATTTAATTATCCAATGAAATATGTGAAACGGATTTTTAGGAATTCATATTTTTAAAATCATTTAGTTACCTAGCTTGCTTGCTTGCTATTTCTAGCTGTAGATAGTTTTGTTGAGTTGTTAATAATTGTCGACTAGTCGCCGTGATGTCATCAATAAATACTTTCATACCTTCAGATATACAAAGACTTGATTTCTACGCTACAATATAATCAAAATAAGCATTCAGCTTCAATTTTACTAGCTAGTATGAAGTAGACCGATTTTTAACGAAACCTTTTCACCATTAGGGGTATTTCCCTAGTGCAGTGAGAATACGATTGAGAGCCACTTCTCAGCCCTCATCGCATTATGGACAGTAGGATGTTTTCTGATTGATACAAATTACGCTAAAATAGTTTCCTTACTTACTCATAGATGGCAGACTAAAGTTTCATATAATTAAGATGTGTGAGGTTAAGTGAAGGTTTATAAGTTTGGAAGGCAAATGCAATAATCTCCTCCAGACCAAATCTTGTTGTCGTGCAAGAAGGAAACGTGCGTCATCTTGATCGATCACCACTGCCTTCCCTTAGAGAATTCTGCGCCAGTTCTTCCCCGAGATTACCTCCCGTCCCCAGATATTGTTTCTGATCTATATAATCCCCCACAGATATTATTCAAGTTTGTGTATTCCGACTGAGGTTTCGGCGCTTATTGCTTTCTTGCGCTTAGCAATTTCCTCCCGGACATCTTCAGATATATAGTTGAGGTTGGACCCAACATAAAACTGTACAATTGTAGCGGATGTTAAAATGATATTTTTATTAGAATCTATGTAGAGAGTTACCTTCTCTAAAACAGAGATTATGATGTTTTTTATTTCTCTATTTTTAAATTTGAAATCCTAGCACTCAAGCGATACTTAAATTATTATTCAAAATATACAAGAATATATAGATTTTCAAATATCTAAGAGATAATTTATAGAATATACCGAATATAAGAATATACCGAATTTGGAGCTTATATAAGAAGAGTAAAGATAAAGGTCAATTAGAGGTTTTGAAATATTGAAGGGTGTAGAGGATTTAGAATCTCTAAGGATATATAGGACCTAAAATCCCTAAGATCATGGAATATTTAGACTCTCTAGAAGGTAATGGAAGATTTAGAATCTTTAAGGGTATGGAAAATTTGGAATCTCTAAGGCAATGAAAGATTTAAAATCTCAAAGAGGGCATTGTCAAAGAACAAACTTCCGTTAAGCGTGGTGTTCTCTGAAGGGAATACGAGAACAATCTCTTCTGAATAAAATATTATTTTATTAAGCAGATGCTTAAAGTACAAACTAAAAACTGAGAGAAACGAACTTTACCGGCTGTTGAGGCCGTGAGAGATCACAAGAGACTGATGTTTGTTGACGTCAGTCTCGATAACAAGAAAATATTCCAGACTGATGAATCCAGGTGTTGATAATAGATAAGAGGTGTAATCTAAAGAGATAAGAAGAAATTAGATGGTTTTCTGTTCATGATCCATAATCTTTTAGGTGCCGGAAAATACCGGCTGTTTCTCGGCGACAGGTATGGAAGATTTAGAATCTATAAGTGTAAGAAAGATTTAGAATCTATAAGGGTACGGAATATTTAGAATCTCTAAGGGTACGGAATATTTAGAATCTCTAAGGGTATGAATGATTTAGAATCTCTAAAGGTATGGAAGATTTATTTTTTCTAAAGGCATGGAAGATTTATAGTTTCTAAAGGTATGGAAGATTTATAATCTCTAAGGGTATGGAAAATTTATAGTTTCTAAGGGTATGGAAGATTTATAGTTTCTAAAGGTATGAAAGATTTATATTTTCTAAAGGTATGGAAGATCTATAGTTTCTAAAGGTATGGTAGATTTATAATCTCTAAGGGTATGGAAGAATTATAGTTTCTAAGGGTATGGAAGATTTATAGTTTCTGAAGGTATGGGAGATTTATAGTTTCTAAAGGTATGGAAGATTTATAATCTCTAAGGGTATGGAAGATTCATAGTTTCTAAGGGTATGGAAGATTTATAGTTTCTAAAGGTAAGGAAGATTTATAATCTCTAAGGGTATGGAAGATTCATAGTTTCTAACGGTATGGAAGATTCATAATCTCTAAGTGTATGGAAGATTTATATTTTCTAAAGGTATGGAAGATTTATAATCTCTAAGGGTATGGAAGATTCATAGTTTCTAAAGGTATGGAAGATTTATAGTTTCTAAAGGTATGGAAGATTTATAGTTTCTAAGGGTATGGAAGATTTATAGTCTCTAAAGGTATGGAAGATTTAGAGTTTCTAAGGGAATGTAAGATATAGGATCTCTAAGGGTATCGAAGATTTATAGTTTCTAAGGCTATATGGGAAATTTAGAATCTATAAGGGTATATATATATATGGAAGATTCTGAATATCTAATGGGATGGAAGATATATAATCTCTAAGGGTATGAAATATTTAGAATCTTTAAGGGTATTGAAGGTTTAGATTATTTACATGCGATCACCACATAATAAAAAGCATATTGCGGGTTAGTTACAATTTTACGAAAGTAGGATAAAATCTTAAGATTAACAATAATCTCTTGGTAATTCTCCGTTTAAAATGGTTATGTACCACGACAAAGAGATTTTGCCACGTTGTTTAATTTGCGCAATGATGATGAAATAAAGTTCTTGAATCCCAGGTCACACTCTTGTTAGAGCATTTCCCCATGTTATAATTTTAAGAATGATAATCACACAAGGACTATATATAAAACTATAATCTGGTGAAAGGGAATACAGCATAGTCAAGTGTATTCGGAGAATAGAGAGGCCGGCCAGACCTCCACACTTGAATCTGATAGACTATGTTATTTATGTGCTTTCCTTAAAGACTCATCGGGTCTTATCACCCCATTCCAAAAATCGTTTGCAAGCTAATCCCACTCTCTTGAAGCATCTAAACTAAACATCTAAACTAACACAATGGTTCCTTTTCGAAACCTTATATTTAGTTTGGAAGCTGCATAGCGTTTAGAGGTGCTAACACGCATAATGTATAGTTCACAAGTATAGTAAATTGCATATATTGAATATCACAATATTACAGATGTATTCGTAATCTTAAAATATTTTTCAATTTTGTGTTTTTTTAGGCTCTCATACAGAGAGCTGGTCAATTATATATTTTCTGTCTAATATCTAATTGTATTCGAATTTTAATTTTGTTTCTTACAATATATGCGCCATTAAAAAATTGATTTACTCACACATTTTCTAAAAATGAATATAATATGACGTAATTTTGTTCTTATATAATTTTATGGAAACTAGCAAATCAATATAAATAGATATCAAAAATAGTACAAATGTGATATTGTACTGGGATAAGGAGCATAAATTATTAAAAATGCATTTCCTCTCGTGCAACTGAAAGTTGCTGATGGCTTGTGCCATCTATCTGAATAAATATAAACTATTCTCGTTGATTTTCAATTATTCAAGAATTGGTCAAATACCCATTC